CAGGATTTTCGCTGGTTTTTTCTATTTTTCCCCCTCGACTTTGGCACATGCTCTAAGACCATTCGTACGTTCGCCTGGCTGCCTGGCTGACTGTAAGTTTTTCCTTTATTTTTCTTTGGCACAGATTTACGACTTTTTATGCTGTTTTGATTTGGTTTTTTTTGCATAAGGGTGTTCACGTGGCCTGGACTGGACCAGGGAGTCTGCAACTGTTTGGCCGTTTGTCTTGTCAGTGGCGTTGTAATTGGGTTTCAGAATATGACGGAAAGAGTGTTGCTAATCAGCAAATCACACTCTGGCGTTGAGTAGACGAATTACACCGCACTTTTGTGGATTTTTATACGGATTTTTATTTGGATATTTATTCGAACGATTGGCAACCTGTTTGGTTTAGAGAAAAAAAACTTTTATGGCAAAATGGAAAGGCGTTTCCTTGTTTAGTCGACTCGACCATCAATCTTGAGTTAAAGTGTCGCTCGGTTTCGGTTTCGGTTTCGGTTTCCTTTAATTGTTTTAGGGGATTGGTTTTTTACTTAGCATATAAACCCAAAATTTTCACATTTTATTAAGCCCTCTTAACTTTATTCACCCTCATAAACCCATATTTTCATATCTTCATGTCTTGGAGACCAATAACCATTAATACTTAAATGGGTTTTTTGGTAAAATCCTATGGCAAATATTGCACATTTCACATGGCACTTGGCCAATTAACTGGGGACATTAAGGTATTAGCCAATTTGAGATCATAAAAGAAATGCATTTTAGTTAAGTTAAGTTCATTTGAATTTAAATGAATCATGAAAGGGGTGAAAAAATAATGGATATAAAGGAAACTTTTCAATTTTCAGGCTGCAGGTTGTTAAGAATTGATTAGTTATTTATTTTGAATTGAAAACAATATATAACACTCAACAATCTTATAGCAAGAGAAGAACCTTAACTTCGATCTGAGAATATCAATTAACATTTTCATTTTACTCAACATTCACTATTATCAAGATGACTTCTCTAATTTCTCTTTGCTACCTATTTTTTCGGTCTAAATTTATATATTTTACCAGTCCAATGACCTTTTAAATTTTACTTAATTTTAACACTCAACTCGCTGTAAAAGGCCCAATAAATGGATCCTAGCACCGGTTAACAGCCCTGGGCCAGGATCGTCTTATAGGACAGGGGTAGATGGGTAAGGCCAGTACTGGATAGGATCGGATAGTTTAGTGAAATATTAAAGACTGAGGATAGCATAGGGACAGGGTGGGTAGGGCAGGGATAGCCTCTTGTCTGGCGGCAGCTGGCCAGTTTTAGTTTTGCCGTTGCAAAGTCGTCGCAAGTTGGGCAGTTGGCCAGGTGCGGGTGCCCCACACACACTCACACACAATAACACACACTCACTGGCACACTCGCACACACCTCACCTCACCCATAAACTGGTTGCTGGACATGAGGTGAGCCACAAACAAAAAAAAAAGCCAAGTAACTGGCCAAAACACAAGCGTGTGCCGGCTTTGCTAACTTGGCTATTTTGTAGACTATTTTTTGAGAATTTTAAAGGGTACAGTTAGCAGGGATTAAAGTATTTAAACTATATCTCAATAAGAAAAGAGATTTAATAAAATATTTTAAAAGAAGAAAAATGTTAGCTTATCAGTTATTATTTGTGTACTAATTTTAAAACAATTTATAAGAGATTATTCTGGTAGGAAAACCCTGACAAAGAAATGATCTATTTCAGAAATAATACTTTTTATTCATATATAAAAATATATACCAAGTTCTATTAGTATGCATTTAATCTCAAAATATATTAAAGAGAACCTAAAGATTTAATTTGTTAATTTATTTAAAAAGTGACTGAGCAAGAAATTAGGATCAGAAATAAAAATGTTTAAGCATCTTTATGACTGGACTTTACCTTAACATATACCCATTCTTTAATTTATGTTTTCTATTTAATTTAAATATTTTATGTATTTATTAGTATGTATTAAAAATATATTCAAGAGAACCTTAAGATAATTTGATAATTTGTTTAGGAATTATCAAAGCAAGAAAAAATGATAAGAAATGAAACAAGTTTATGCAAATCCTTAATCTGGACTTGAATTTTGCTTAACATAGATTCATTCTTTAAGTTATAATTTGTTCTTAATTTATATATTTTTATGTATTTATGAGTATGTATTAAAAATATATTAAAGAGAAACTAAAGATTATATTTAATTTGCTAATTTATAAGAATGATCAGAGCAAGATATATTATGATTAGAAATGAAACAAGTTTAAGGAAATCCCAAATCTTACTTTTACATAGACCCATTATTTAAGTTTTGTTTTCTACTTAATTTCTATATTTTTATGTATTTTGATTAATCCAATTTTTAGCTATAACTTGAGTTATAACCAACACTGCCTGAAGTGCCCGCAAAAGGCTTGAAAACTCTTTTTTTTGCGTGTCTTGGAGTGGAACACACCCGCATCGCGGCAGCAGACAGGACAGCGACTCTGTGGCTCTGTTTAAAACCAGATTAGCGCCCAAAGTCTGCGGCTAATTTTTGTCGGTGGGTCTAAGCAAATTTGAATTTGAATGTTAGCGGGTGATAGTCGCTGGTTTTTTATGCATTTTTTCTGCTATTTTTTTTTTTGGTGAACGAAAGACCACTTGGTTAGGAGACTGGGAGCTCTCTGTGTCTCACAATCTTTTGCCGCGCTGGCGGGTTGACAGTGCGGTGCCTGTGAAATATATAGGATGACATGGGGCATGGTTATGGTTACGTGCAAACCGAAAAGCCACAACTAAGCTGATTACGAAATGTTGACCTTTTCACCGGTTAAAATGGCCACTTGTCTTGCTCCTTTTGGCGGCATTCAATGATCCCGAGGAGAGGTTTATGTCAACGGCTTTCCTTCTCCGATAATTGCACTCTCGAATTGAGTTCAATTTAATTTGGTCATAATTCAGGTGACTCTTGCTAATGGCTGAACGGGTGGCACTGTTGCCATTTGGGGATTTCCCCCTACAAACTTCCTGCTTATCCCAGGCTGGAAAATGTCTGCCATAAATCGAGTACTTCCACTTTGGCAAACAATTAGCTTCGTAGTTTGTATTACTTAATAGTGATTCGAGTGACTCATTCGATGGGTTAAAGTGAATGTGAGTATATTTTTTTGGGGGGAGGGTAAATAGTAAAGAGTATTTTATGAACTTAAGCACTTGTCTGGAGTGCAATGATTGATAAGACTTACTCAATAAGTGCTGTATTTCTTAGCTTCGATGGGGTTCTAACTATTACAACACTTCCTGTTACATAGTCGAGGTTTGGAGAAGTTAATATTAATTTCAAGTATTTATAGTGACTCATGTAAGTATACCTTCGATGACTTATTATTAAGAATATGTATATTTCTTTAAAATGAAGATCACTGATAGGGATAAATGTATCTGTCTATCTATCTTTATATGGATTAACTATATATTGTCTTTAGATTAACACAAGTTATAAATATTATGAAATATTTTATTTAAAATGAATACAAATTAAATTATGAAAATGATTATATAGTATTATTATTATTAATTTATATTACTCTATATTATCATATATTATTATATCTAAATTAACTTTTTAAGTAACGAATAATACTATCTTAGTTGAGAAAAATATTAATAGAATAAACTTAGAACCAAATAAGGTTGCTAAATAAAAGTTCCTTAACATAAGAATATCTAAATAAACTTTTAAAATAAAGAAGAATACTTTCTTAGATGCGACACATATCAATAAAATAAACTTAGAACAAAATAAGGTTCCTATATATTTAATATGCCGGGTAAAATTATATTTCCTCAATATTTTAAACACAAATATAATGTTCTCATATATAACATGGATTGTAAACTGTACAAAACACATAAATATTCCCAAAAATTTCCAGATGCTTCGTAATTCCTACATTCAAAGCTTTTCCAGAATGTTTCAACATGCCGGCAGCTGGTCTTCCTACAAATACCTGCGCACTATCATCATCATCACACCATTCGCACCCTAGAAGACCCTTAAATCCGATCGCAAAGGGATGGAAAATCAGGAGCCAAAATGGTGGGAAAATAAAAAGTTTTTGCAACCCCCGGGATAAGCCAAGTGAGACAAAAGCACCGGCTCTAAAGAGGCGGCGTCACCGCCAACCTGGTGTCGGGTACCAAAAGCACCAAGCACCAGGCACCAGGCACCAACACTCAGCACCAAAGTACCGGTTACCTTCAAGGACACATTACCAATCGCTATCCCTATGCAGGAACCCACCCCATTGGCCGCCACCCTGTTGCTGCATGAGCATTATCCTGCAGCTGCGCAGTAACTGAAATCCTGTCCTGCGGCAGGGTGGCTTTCATTTTCGGTGGGAAAATAATAAATCACATCAAAATCGCTTTGCTGATTAATTGCCGTAGAAGAAACTGTACCTGATCGAAGTTGCAATGGAATGCAACGACCTCATGTTGCTCTTTTCTTAAGCAAAACAAAAAAATAAATGTGGGAATGTTCATTTGATTTTGTAATATTTCTAAATGACTGACTTTCTTAGATTTGCTCATTTGGAAGCTTCTTTGGTTGGCAGGAAATCAAGTAAAATAATTTAATTCGAATGAGCAAGGACTAAAGGATGTAAAAGAATGTAAAAGGAGCATTCTCCTATAGTTGATACTTTTTGATAAGCTCTCATAATTCCTGGGAAAACTCTGCAAGAGCTCCCACTGCTAAGAATTTCCATTGAAAACCAATGGACTGCAAAGAATTATAGAAATTTAGCCTGGGAAAATTGCACAATTTCTTTGATTTCATCTAAAGCAATAATATTTACCTTTTGTTGTAAATTGCTACATTTATTTCTACACTTTCAACAATTGACTTGCATTTTGAACATTTATTTAAAAAAAGCAATGCCTGAGTTAGGTTTTCTTTAAAATCATGGTAAAAGGAAAGGCACACATTGAGAAATTAGATCTGGAAGCACAATCAATTTAATCAGCACATATTTAATTTTCGCCATGGACTCTTGCCTTTGGACTTTTTGCATTTCCACTCGGGCAACTTTCCATTTCCATTTCCAGATTGCAATGCGCATGTGCGCCGGCTCCATCCATAAAATCAACAGCATTAGTCAAGTCCTGGAACTTGGATCCTTGAGGGGATTTTTGGGGAAGCACTTTGCAGTCGAAGGCGTAACGAGCCACCGAAAGATTCGACATTCAGCTGACAAATTCGCACTCATTTGTTTGCTGAGCAAAAGAGTTTTCTATGCCAGCGGCCTTGCAGATTGAGACACTTGGCCAGCTGCTCCAGCATGTTCAATGCTCATCTGTTTACCCACCACTGGTAATGGGTTTGAGGAGCGGCTTGGTTTTCGTTTCCATTCCACAGCAACATTTCAGGGAGTCAGTGTATTGAATTAAACCGTAGGAACCCCCAAAGATCCACCTGTGATCGCGACGATGCAGTGCATCCGCTTTACCCTCTGGCAGGCCACAGACAACCTCACACTTGACCGCTCGAATGGCACAGATATTCGTTGGCCTAAAGCCCCTCAGGCAGGTGATGAACTCCTCCGAAGAGTCCCATATAAAGTCACCCAGGAGTTTCCTGTAGTTGAGATCTCCCTTGAAGATGGCCAACCGGGCGGTGGTGAGCAACCGATAGAGATCCCAATCTAGTTCCACCATTGCAAAATATGGCTGTGGTCCTGTCCAAAAATGTGATATGGGTGCTATGATTATCTTTTCGGTTTTCATTAAACGTTCCCACTTCCTTCCGATTGCCGAAAGATACTCGTCCTCATGACGCAGCAAATGATTCAGTGTCCATTCCACATCCGGTGCTGTGGTATCCGAGATGTACCAGGGAATGGCCTTCACATGGAGACGCACTTGGTCGGCAATCTTGTTGTCCACCAGAAAAGATAAAAACAACAGGTCGGTAAAGAGCTCAAAGCCCGCGTTGTCGCAGATATAGTCTACGATTATGGTGCTCTCTGGATCCGTTTTCCTGTTTTTAATTAGGCTAAGAGAGAGAGAGAGGGGAGAAATATTAAAAATCTGAACTGATTCTTATCGATAAAACTCTGCAGGGTTTATCGATTAAGATGGGATTTCTATTGTGATTCAATGGACTGAAAAATATTCACTGAAAAGGAAAAGGTCTGGGACATAAAGATATTCATTTACCATTTCCATATAGGGAAAGAATCATCCACAAGTAAATGCCGATCAATTTGTGCCACTTGCAAGAGTACATCGATATTTTCCCGATTCTCGTACTCCCCAAATTCATAGCAACTAAGCTGATTAGCAAAGTGATTGCTCCACAAATTGATTATCAATAACTTTCTAAAATTCTCAAAATCCCCGAGCAAAGCAAAAGTGGCCCTTGCCAGGATCTTCATGGCATCATTGCTAACTATCATATCCTCCTGCTTCAAATGAGAAAAGCAATCATAATTCGTAAGAAAACGACTGTTTTCGAAAAAGGAATATATCCGCCGATACAGGTAACACTCGGCATGCAACCAACAAGATCGAAAGTAACAACTTTTGGGATATGGCAGTTCGCTGAGGAAAGCATTCCATTCATTCCTATCCGGCTGATTTCCATGAAATAATTGAAACATTCGATCACAACTCAGTTCCATTTGCAGTCTCTCAACGGCATCAACTATCTGCCGGATATCCTTGTGCACTTCCTCTCCGTATTGCTTTTGCAAAGTAGGTTCCTCGGAGAAAAGTCGCTGTGTCAACTGATGCATTATTCCTGGCATTCGTGTCCTTAATGTTAAATAGGCAAAACTTTGCTTATATCTTGCCGAGAGGAGCGAGTGTCGCGGTGTCGGTCCATTTGTCAACTCTGTGCCATCCGTTCGAACTGATGAACCCGATGGCCGTGACACCACATTGCCCATCGAGAATTGGGCTCTGTTATACATGTCCGGACACAAAATAAATAAAACAGCCAAACAAAATACAAAGAAATTTCAATTTAAAACAAACATCTGATTGGAGGAAGCAAGCCTCACTGATCCATATCAATATCTTTAGATCATTTAGTTAAAATTTATCTAGTTCGAGGAAGTTCTAAGTACTGTGGGAAACCTCTGCGATATCCTCTTCCTTAAGTATTGCTTCCTTCCGCTGCCCAGGTGTTATCCGCAATGCGGCATGTCCAAGTGTAATTTACAGGGTCGGTGTTAAATAAAATTAGCATATTCCTCGAATGCTTGATCCTTGGATTGCGTCCCCATGAAAAAAGGTGCATCCGGCTTCGGTTCGGAAAAGTGAAAATCATAACAGCCAAAAGGGTTTAGGGTAAGGGTTAGGGTTAACGATTTAGCATAATTGTCACATGTTAATAAACAAGTCCGCAGGCACTGTGGGAATCTTGTTCTTTCTCTGTCTATATATATTCGATGGGGTTAATTCTATGCTAATGGAGCAAGGTGTGCACTTCCTCTGGCAAACCCTTCATACGATACGATACGATACCCTTTCGATCTAATTGAATGTTTATGAACTACGGAATGACGCAAGTGTTCGTCCCCGATCCACTCGGTTTCTGGTTTATTTGCATAAGCATTTGCCAAAGGAAACCAAACTGATATGATTCTCAATGTTTGTCCATGACACATGCAGGCTTTCAAGCAGGGAGAGAAAAATATTAAAAATAAATCTATTAAAAATATATATAAAATCTCTAAAAAAATCCACATAAAATCCATATAAATCTATATAAAATCTATAGGAAATCTGTACAACATATTTGCAAAATCTATACAAAATCTTTACAAAAGCTTTACAAAATCTATACAACATCTATATAAAATCTAAACAAAATCTATACAATATCTATATAAAATCTATAGAAAATCTATAGAAAATCTATACAAAATCTATACAATATCTATATAAAATCTATACAAAATCTATAGAAAATCTACACAAAATCTTTACAAAATCGATATAAAATCTATATCAAATCTTTACAAAATCTTTACAAAATCTTTACAAAACCTTTACAAAATCTATACAAAATCTATACAAATCTATATCAAATCTATACAAAATCTATACTTATTATATATATCTATATATCTATACTTATTATATATAGCAGAAAATATTGAATTAAAAATATTTCTTAAATATTTACTGACACCATTTCTCTCTGTGTAGCACTGAACCCTTCGTTGATTTCTGTGGCAGACACCGGTGCGTCAAAATAGTGAAAACTTGCGACTCTTTATCGGTGGTCGTGCACCTTAGAGTCGAAGACCGCCGCCTATTCGCATCCAGGTGTTCTTTTCCTTGGAAATCAAGAACTTCCCCCGTGACAATCCGGTTCCCAGTTCGGTGGTGAAATCCGTCGGTTTCTTCTAAGTTTTTAATTCCTGATTGCGGCTCAAGGTGCTACATTTTCAGTGCGCCATTTTCGAATTGTTTACGAGTTCTTCAGACGTTACTTTTGAGATACCCTAAAAAGGGGTTCCCTTAAATGTCTACAGGGATTGTTTATAAATTAAATTAGCTTTGAATAAGGTTATAAAATATTGAGAAACTGAAGGGGATATTCAACTTAATCAATTATTAACATATTTTAAACAAAAGTATCTGCAAAAATACTTGTAAAAGACATTTAAAAAATATTTCAAATATATATTATAATATAATGTTCCTTGACTCTCTGCAATGTAAGGGTATTTCAAGCCTCTGTCTTACTTCTTTTGAACTTCAGAAGGGGGTTGGGATACGGTTTGCGTTGCCTTATGAAATCACAAAACCAAAATCACTGAGCAGCTGCGCAGTTATTTTAGTGGCAAGTTCTGGCATGTGCTGGCCTTGTTGCTACGCAAAAGAACCTTTTCATTTATTTTGATTTTTATTTCAGGGTGAAGTCTCACCTCCATCCATCTAAGACCGGGGCATTGTTCAATCTCCGGGACTCAAGCAGGTCAAATTGAGATCAGACTGATATAACGCATACGAATTCAATATTCTGCGATCATTTCCCCCCAAAAAGTAACCAAATTATGTTCTGCCATTAAAATGCCTCAACTTTCACCGCAACAAAACAAAACAAAACGAAAGAAAAAGTGACAAAATATGGCTCACCCGATAATTGCTCCCAGCAGATCAGTGAATATATTTATGTTATTGCTGCCCCCGATTGTGGCAAGTAAAAAATTGCATTATCAGAGTCGTAAACAAATTAGGGGAGAACGAATCCAGAGAGATCGGCAGCTGCCCAGATATATATACATATATATATATATACCTTTACTATATTGTATGTCTGGGCATGTGGATGGATAATCAAGGCTCAAGTGGCGGGTCCCATTAGCTGACACCGCCGCCAAGAGAAGTGCACACAATATTTTAGAAACAATGGCCAATGTTACACGAAGAAAAATTGTGTAACATTTCTCATGAATTTATGATTATATTTTAGTATATTTTTTAAATAATAAAAATGGGAATTTGTAAGTTATATGTATTATTTAATTAACAAAAAATATTTAATTTAACAAAAATGGGAAGTGTAAGTTATCTCCTAATTAACTTTTTTAATATTTTATGAATGTGAATAAATAATGTCATATTTACTTATATTGATATCCAATTATATTATTATGAAAACATATAATTTTATTGGAATTCTGTTTATTTAAAAGGAGATAGTATACAAATATGAACAATTTACTTAACATTTGACTGTGATTTTAAAGAATTTAAATGTTTATTTCTTCACTGTTATATATTTACTTTTTTATCCTAACTCCCCAAGAAATGGTATATAATTTATAAATTCTAAAGTCGTATATTTAATACGGCTCGAAGGACCAATGTATGTTGCAAGACCAGATAAGAACAGAGGGGAGTTAAGAATTTTCTTATGAACATTTCGGATCTTAAAGAACTTCTAAGCAGGAAGAGTTAAAAAATATTATATATTTCCAAGAAAATGAATAGTTAAGAACATGTCTATTTGTTTCTTCGATCTAATGTGTTTCTTTAACAAAGTTAAAAAATATTATAGAGGAAATAATCTAATAATAATTATATAAATTATGGGTAAGAAATGGAATCAATTTAGGTGTTTAATAAACCTAAATTGACTCCATTTCTTACCCATAATTACGCTAAGTGCACTAAAGGAGCCTAAGCTCCATAAGATTAATAACTCGCTGGCGCACGTTCAATTAATCTTTCGCTACGTTTGCTCTGGAACTCAGGAACTCAGGAGCTATAGATCTATGGAACTGCAACTAGAGCTGGGAGATCGGGAGCTCGGTAGCTCCCTGACATGGAAATCAAAGTCCCACCAACTGACAACTTAACGGCACGTCTCCAAAGAATGGATACCCTTGTCCCTCCCGGTGGATGGGATGAGTCTGAGTATAAGATGAGATGGGATCGTGTACCTGCCGCATTGTCAGTGTCAATTGTGACAGTGTCTGCGACAGTGGGGCTCATTCCGCCCGGAAAAACAAAACAAACGGACACGTTCTCTTTCCCCCTTGGGGGAAAAGGAAAGACGGAAGGTGGCCCCCCGATCATCATGCAAAACATTTGCCCATGAACGTGACAAAACTGAAGAACACGCTGCCGAAATTCTACTAAATTAGTTGTTTTAGCTGCAAGGGCTCTAAATTTAGGAGACCCCTCCAGATTTTTTTTTTTGGGCGTGCGGCAATCCATTGGCCATAAATCAATTATATGGCCCTAGACGATATTTATAGAGCCGACTTTTTCTCATCTTCAGGTGCCTGTGGATGAGGGAAATTCCATGCCATATAGCGGCAATAATTTCAAACATTTTCATAGCTCAAATTTATGTAAATACAATGCCGACAGCTTGAATATGCTGCTGCTACTGCTGCTATATCCAAAATTATCATAAAATATAAATCGAAGATCATTTGTAATAATTAGCGCGACATTTGCTGCTGTTTTTTAACACGATTGTTTAGCAGAAAAAAAAACCAAACAACACAAAGCAAAGCATTTCCCTTGAGTTTTTGCCTGCACTTTATTTGTTTAATTAGGAATCCCTTGGGTGGACAATGAAAACATGAAATGCTTTTGACTTTATTACAATGCGGGGTTTATTACACTCAGGGAAATGTATGTAATTGTTGTATTCAATTGACTTTTAGTTAGATTTATTGGAAAAATAATAATAATAATGAATTTATGATGAGTTTGTTAAAGGTTTTGTTGTTGTTTATTAAATAAGGTTGAGAGACTTGCAATTTGTTATTAATTGTAAAATTTATGGTTAAATCAAATTGATTTTTATTTCAATTTATATTGATTTAATTATTTATAAAATGTTTAACCTTAATAGAGATTTTCATAGTATTTTTCAAGATATTTCAGATTTAAATCTTGAACGAATTTAATGTTTATGACTATAAAACATTAGATTTCATTAAAAATTTGACAAATTAAACCTACTAAACCTTCAAGTATTTATTTTGTTTTATACACTGATTAATAATATTCCAGTTTTTTCCACTTTAAATACATTTTTCCTCCAAGTGCATGAAATAACAGCTGAAAGCTGTCAGTTAAATTGATGCACCCCAAGGCTTTGGATTACAAAAGGCGAGGAGAGGCCACAGAAAACACGAAAAACAAAAGCAAATGAGGCTGAAATTGCAAGGAGCAACCAGCTTGAACCACCTCAGCCTCAACCACCATCAGCACCATCTGATCCTGCGGAGCCACCAGCACGCAACTTGACTCCTGTTCGTCCTGTTCACCACAAAAAAAAAAGTGGAATAAAAACTGCAGGAGCAGTCGAATTTTATTTGAATTAGCAACGCGCAATCAAAAACATTCAAACACGCATAAATTGAATCCCGTGGGATGATTTCTGTTTCGGGTTCCCATTGGCAACCTCCCTTCGCCCTTCGTCCTTTGGTGCTGCCAGCAACTTGTCACGTGATTCCAATAACAAATACAGACAGGGATCATCCCTTAGTCCTTGGTCCTCGAACTG